GTCGCTCGCTAAGTGCTTTATTTTGACTGGTCAGGAAGCGCCAGAAAGTAGCAAGAAGCTACACATAGATCTTTTCAAGAAGACTATGTCTGGAGACGGCATTATGGGCCGCAAGCCGTATGGCTACACTACGCGAATGTGGCAGATCGTCGGCTGGAAGCGACTTGAAATGAACCGAATGATGAACTTCGCTGGCGTCTCCGTTTCCAATTTTAATTCCATGTTCAGACGTGGATTTGTATGGAAAGCCAAAGCTCGCTTCATACATCAGAAGTTTCTCTGCAACTACCTCGATCATGAGAAAGACGGCATCTTTGCAGCAGACCCCAGCCTCAATAAGTTCCTTGCAACATCACAAGCCTCAGTGGCAGGTCTTCGAATACAATGGGCGTTCGAGCGTATGCATGGTCGCGATGCATGCTACCAATTCATCGAAGATTACTGCAACGGCGAGGATAATTACATCACGGAGGATGTTATGAGGCAAGCCTGCGGTCTACCAGTGCGACACAGACAAGTACAAGAAGAAAAAGATGTCGGCCTGGCCGCCGTCCTCGAAGCAGATGCTGAAAGTCAAAAGGCACGGGACGCAAAAGACGATGAGTGGGACAATTTTCGACAGTTCTTGTTCGACACAATGCTTTCTTCTGGCATGGAGTTGCTATCGTACACCGAGTTCAAGAAGCTGACGTTGAGGAACTCCGGAATACCAAACATGACTAAAGAAGCATTGTGGGATGCAGTGGAAGCGCAGCGCGTGCTTCGACCTGGAATTGTGAAGCACAAAACCAGCAAGGTGAAGCCAGGATCGTTTCTGCCTTTCATGACTTTTGCGCATGACTTCAAGGACATTTTGCCTCCGGTGAGTGAAGATGATGTTAGAATGCATTTTGAAGAGCAACACGACATTCAGAAATTGCGGAGCTATGCGTTTTCGCATGGCAGTCGACGGCGCAGCGCGGAAGTGTTAGAGGCACATCACAAGAGCGCCTGTCAACGTCTCACTGGATCCGACGCAAAGAAAGGCAGGAGGCAGGCAGACATACAGGACGCTATGCGAGAACACAAGAGTGCACTGCTGAAGCTGAAGGCTCACGAGGACAGCATCAAGATTGTGCTTCGCGGCGACATTGACACGTCCACCGGCGTCAAGGCTTCTCAGCGAAAACGTTACACGCCAAAAGAGTTGCAGTCGGAAGAGCTTCCCTCATCGCAAGACTCTGCTTTCCGGACTTTAGTGTCCAAGCAAATCAAGTATCACTATCCTGCTGAGCCGGCCTACTCAGTGAAGCCCCGTCGCTACAGTGGTGCTGGCAGCGCACAGGCCATGTCCCGAAGACTGCAGGTACATGTTCTGGATGCGCATTGTGTAGATTTAGACATTCAGAACTGCTGCTTGACCCTTGTTTATCAAATCCTGGAAAAGATCAAGCCCACTCCAGCTTTGCCGCAGAAATTAAGTGAGCTGCTGTATGAACTCGCTTACAAGCGCGAGGATTTCTTTCGCAAAATCAATGCACATCATAGTGAAGGAAAGCAGCTGGTGAATACGGTGGTGAATGGCGGTCGCATACCAGACAACTTCAAGAACGACGAGAATGTACAGTCGCTTCAGAAGCTGTCTTTATATCTCCGCTGGACAGCTTGCAACCTTCTTCACGATGACTACCTGAATCTCAAGGATGTCAAAAGCAAACCATTCCCTGAAGCGACTGTGTTTTCGCTTATGTGGCATGCAGTTGAAGATCGGATTCTTCAGTGCTGGTCCGAACATGTTTTGCGACAAGACCAGAAGCCGCTCCACGTTTCTCTGCACTTCGACGGGATGCGAGTGTCGCGCAATGCAATTGTCGATATTCCGCAGTTTTGCAAATCTTGCGAGAAAGAAATCGAAGAGAAGGTGTTGTTCAAGGTTAAGATCGTTCAGAAGATCGGGCGAGACTTTCTTTCTGCAGCTCGAGAAAACGCAACTGCAGTTCCGCCTCGACAGTCACTTCCTGATATCTGCACTCGGGCCGGAAACTGCATACCGTGCGCTTTGTGGCATATCGCTCCTATTCTCCGCGAAACCATCGTGTCGTCGCTTAAAGATGCGAACTCCGATGCCAACAAGGAGGCTGCGGAGGTTGGCTACAGATCCTATCGCAGCGCAAATGTTCTTTACAAAGCTGATTTAGAATCCAGTTTGGGTCTTCCACATGACAAAGTTCAATCCTTTATGCTTCATGCAGAAGGCAAAGGTCGTCCTCACTGCGTCGCAGTTCAATTTTCAAGTAAAAGAGACACTGTCATGATTTTTGACGCGAAGGAAGGTTTCCGAGTGAGCGCTGAACAGTTTCAAGAAGCTTTTGCGAGTGCAGTGGATCGCAGCACTATCGCATCCTACTGGCTGAGACAGTCGCGAGAAGCAGATACTGCGCACGTCAACGAGCTTTTGGATATGGTCGCAGGCTGCAGTTCCGAAGAGTCTGACGACGATGGCAACAATCTGCCATCTTTGTCTGCGTCGAGAATTGATTTCGACTCGGAAGGCCGCCCTTTTATTTCTGACAACATCATGCAGCGTTTGGAGCGTGAGGTTGCAGACATGCTGGAGAACTTGGATTCCAATTGCAAGGCTGTGAACGGCAAGCGCAAATGCCCGTTTTGTCCGTTTCGTTCTTTCACTCGGCTAAAATACCTGCGCACTCATGTGACGAAATATCACAGTCTGCAAACACAGTTTGTCGCCAGTGGCACGAAGCAGACGAAAGTCATTCTGGCGCTGTACGACAACGACGCTTCTTTGCAGGTTCAGACGACGGCTCTGCTGCGACGCAGCGCAGAGGTGCTTGGAAAAACTATTCGGCCGCCTCTCGAGACCACGATCAATCTTGTTGACAAGCATATTTGTCTTGTCTTCGACGACAGTGGGCCTGTCTACTTGAACGCAAGTGCTCTTGGCAAGTCAGTCCACGTGCGCAGAGTCGGCAATATCTACTACACGCACAAGTTTGCGGACATGCTTCTCCGTGAAATGGTCATGAGTCACGCTCAGGTGTGCTGCACGCACACGGTCGTAGTTCTTGTCTTTTGCATTTGACGTAGTAAAATACTTAAATTCTACTTTCTGACATGTCGGGTTAGTCTGATATTTCTTTTGAAAGGTGAGAACCATCTGGCCTCGTTGCCATTTGGCAGCTATGCAGTCCGGCAACGAACTTGCCACACTGCTTCCTTCGCTCGGGCAGCACTGGCTTCCTATGCTGGAGGACATCACTGCGTCACCGGCGTACCAAGCCAGGCTGACGTCCATGGTAAAACATCTGGAAGCAGACAAGGAATGGCTGTATCTGAGCATGGACGCAACTCTGAAGGTATGCCTCAAGCTTAAAGGTCAAGAGTCCTATCGGGCCGCAGCTGAGAAAAGAAACAACGCTCCATTCGGAGATGATCTAGCATGGAGACGTTTGTTGACGGTGAGAGGCAGATCCAGCGCGGTGCTGCTTCTTCACCCTTTGCAATCAGAAAAATCTGAACATGTGGTGTCGGTGATGGAGGAATGTTTTACCGAAGAGCAGTTGAAATCAGTAGAGTTTGTCGCCACTGACAGTCCTTCTGCAAAATTTTACAAAGATCTGCGACAAATTTGTCCCAATCTGAAGGGAATGATGCTGGATCCAGTGCATCTCGCCATCGTCTATGAGTACGGGCACTGGAACAAGCGCACGCCTGGATCCAAGACGCTACGCAGTCTTCTGAGAAAAACTGTTGCAGTGGACACATCGGAGAAGTCTCGCGACGTGTCCTTCTACGACGGCGACATGTCCAGACCTCTGGAGGAAGCCGAGGAGCAATGCAGAGACATGATTTTTTCAATGTCTATGCCTATAAGCCAGGCCAACGACATACTTGCTGCAATGGAGTGCGACAAGCCGCTACGCAGCAGGATTGAATTCATCACATCGGTTGCAGCCATTTGTGCCAAATTCGCGCACGA